TTTTCTAAATGTATTTTCAAAATTTCTATATTCATATGTGAAGATATATTTATACTAATATATTTAGTATTTTTCCATATTATAAAACCTTTATCTCAAGTTATTAGAATCTTTTAAAAATTAAGTTTACAATTTATTATTGCATACGTAAAATTTCTCGAAACTCCACCTTTATATTCCTTAAAATTAACTAATAACTAACTGATAAATATATAAGATAAGTGATGAGCCCCAATAATACATAAAAATTCCGTATAAAACTGATAATCATTTGGATACTCTCTCTCAAGACTACACAGACTATAAAATAATATTGAGACATATAAATAATAAAACGAAACATTAATTATTATTCAAGGTTCGAATTCTCAACTTCAGAATTAATATATATATATATATATATATATATCAAATTGCATTGCTTGGATACACTTTTAGTACATAACAATATACTTTACGATATTCACATTCCTTGCTTCGGATACTATTTTATTTCATTTTTGATTTGCATTATTTGATTTGATACTTATTTCAATGAAAATATTCCGTATGCAATCAAATGTTTGTAATAATATTTAACAAAGACAAGATTAAGGTCATTTGCTGGCAATCATGACATGACAATTGGTCAAATATGGGACGCATTTTTCAAAGGTTAATTCAAATTCAAAAACGATCATGACTCTTGTGGAAGCTTTCTAGAGGGTTCCATGAGAAGTCTTTTGGGTTCGGGATAGTTTCAAGCACCTCAACTAATAGCGTGAGGTCCATATGGAAACTCGAACTAGCGACTTAGAGAGAGGGCCAATCTACTCCTTTTGCCCTCCTCGTTTACGAAAATTTACATCAATAACCAATTTATTAAAGTGATTTCACTTTTTAGCAATCTTGGAAACCATTTTTCTCAAATAGTCAAAGTTTACTCAAAACTTTATGCAGAAAAGGGATTTTCTATGTAAAGTTTATTTTCAGACGAAAAAAAGAAAAATAATTTAAAAAGGGACTTTACGTACGTTTATTTTTTTTACAAATTACTTAAATATAACCGTCTATTAAAGACGTTGAGAAAGAGCCTAATATTAAATATTTATAAACTTTAACTATTTAGGAAAATAATTTCGAAATCACCGTCAATAAATTAACTATTTAAGTATATTTCTCCCATGGCCCACTTACTTTTTAGAGTAAATTACATTCGGTCCCACTTTCTTTTGACTAAAAACTGTAAAATGCATTTATTACATTCTCGGTACCTGTGGTATGTAAAAACGCACACTCCAAGTCCCTCATGCTAACAGATTTTGTTAGTCCAGTTAGTATAGAGATATTTTTGTTCTTTTCCACCTCTTATGTCTTTTTTCATATTAAAAATTAAAAAACATATTACATATAATTAAATTATATATAAGGTATATTTCAAATGCAACCCACCCTATTCTTGCAACCAATACAACTCTTTTCCAACCAATCAATGAATTTTTTTTAATTATTAATTAATTGAAAAGGTTAAATATGTCATTTACTAAATCTAGATTATTATAAGTATTTTTAAATAAAAATAAATGAAATTCTATTTATGGTGATTGATTCATCAATTATGAAAATTGAATAATTAATTAAACAAAATGATATTGCACATATTCTTTGATTAATAAGGCATTAATCGTTGATTTATCAGGCATTACAGGTTCATAACTTAAATTTGATAAGATTGGAATTGATGAATTTTCTTGTTTCTTCAGTAGCTCTATAGAACCCAGTATTAATGTTATGGATTATATGCCATTCATCGAGACTTTCAGTAAGGATATAGTCGAAGAAAGCAGTGTTTTCGATTCCATGAACGACTGGCAAGGTTTTAATGATGGTGGTGAAAATGCAAACGCGGTTAATAATGAAACAATAGAAGATCAATGCAATTATTTAATGAGGAATGAAGATGGCTGTAACGATGGAAACAAAACATTAAGTGAGCACAACGACGGAGTTTTAGTAGATTTCGTCGATGATGACGTTGCATCGTTGAGCAATGAAGCTGAAGGTATTGATTTGCTTTCATTGTTGTATGTTAATGAACCTAAAATCTAGTTTCATTTGAAATTATACATATTAGTAGGTTCAATGAACAAGCTACGATGCATCTGGTTTTAATTCAATGAACCAGCTAAGATGAATCTGGTTTCAATATAACAAACAAGCTAAGTTGGCATATGGTTTCATAATAGGCTATTATAGGCTGGTTTCACTATAGTCTGATAACTGATGAAGCCAGATTTCAACAATGAAACCAGATTTATCGTAAAAATGCTGTTGAACAAATCCTAGTGCACCATTATATGGGAAATGAAACATTGAACTCCTCGTACAAAAAGATGATTATGGACAACATGTAATTTCCTGGTGCTGCTTTGTTATACATGATGTGAAGTAACCCACAAGAGAGTGTTTTGCTATGTTATTAATAGAGTTTTTAGCATGTGGGGTTGTGATATAATGATGAGGATGGCATAGATGTTGATTCTCTAAAAGGCAACTACACTACGCTGATCACAAAAATGTATTTCATGGTTCTAGTTCTAAGGTTGGTGTCACCAAATCTCATAGATTTAGGAAAGCAATTACGGGTGGTGTAGATTGCTCGGGTGGCACCGTAAGAAATCATCAAAACTTCAAACACGATATGGCTTATTTTGTTGGCAATAAAGACGCGCAAATGTTGTTAAATGTGATGTCTAATAGGAGGAAGGTGTGTCCCGAGTTTTTTTTCGAGTATAAATGTGATGATAAGGAGTTGTTAGCGATTTTTTGGGCTGATGAAACTACGCATTCGAATTATAGGGAATTTGGTGATGCAATATCATTTGATGCAACCTTTAGGACGAATAAGTAAGTTACAATTGATATGAATCTGTTTCATTTGTGTTATCTATATTACATGTTATAGCTTGTATTAATTTATAATGTTTACTTTTAATAGGCATGCCATGATATTTGTTCCGTTTGTTGCAATTGATAATCATAATAAATCTGTCGTTGTTGGAGCTGTTTTGATTCACAATGAATCTGTGGTTGATTACACTTGGGTATTGAAAGCTTTTGTAAAAGCTCATGGACGTCAACCACGTTTTGTGATCACTGACTAATGTGCGTCGATGAAACAAGCGATTCTCATTGCATTACCTGAATCCAAGCATCGATTGTGTATGTGGCATATCACTAAAAAACTCAAATCTAAGGTAATTACGATGAAACTTTTTTTTTTGTTTTTTTTTCATCTTTTTTAAGTTTTCCTTCTAATTGTGTATGTGGCAGATCAGTAATTACCTCCAACATCGTATGTCGTTTGTTAGCGAATTTAATAAGTTAGTGTGGAATGTTCACCTTGCCCCTGATGAATTTGAGATGAAATGGCTCAACATGGTGGATTCGTATGATTTACGTGGAGACTCATGGTTTGATGAACTGTATGAGATTAGGGAGTCATGGATTCCGACTTATTATAAGGATTATCATATGTCCAGTCTAATGAAAACAACATCCAGGTCAGAGAGTATTAATGCCTTTTTTAATGTTTATGCATATTTTTGGCACGATCTTGTCATTTTTCTTTGTTCTTTTGATAATGCAATTGAAAGCCAACGGACAACACATGGTTCGCTAGAGGTGACAACGAAGAGTACGGTTCCTCGATTGGTGTCTCCTTGCAAATTAGAAGCTCATGCAGCAGAAGTATATACACGAACGATATTTTTTGAAGTTCAGAAAGAGTTAAGAAAGGCTGTTTGGCTTTGTGGATGGGATGGATTCACTGACGTTGGTGAAACCCGAGTGTACACCATAACACACAAGAACAAAGCTTCTAAGATCACCACAAAGTACACGGTAGTTATTTCTTAATTTTCCAATTTTGCCAAACAGTTCAAATAGTAGAATTCCTAATGCAACTTCGTAATATGATCTGGTTTCTCACTTGATAGGTTGTCAAGAACAAGATTGAAAACTTGTATGATTGCTCATGTAACTGTTTTTGTTCGTAACATGATTTTATGTCGTCATGCTCTCAAGGTAATGTTAAATGACGAGGTTGATAGCATTCCAGATAAGTATATACTTCGCCGTTGGAGATGCGATCTAGTCCCGGTGGAGTGGGTACCAGCATGTTTCAGATATGGGGAAGTTGACGCTGATAAGGAGAGGTTGATGAGTGTTGCTTTTTCGTATTTTGAACGTATTCTAGGTCGAGTGCGAAATGAGAAACATATTTTGTCAAAATTTGTTGACCAACTTCAAGAATGAGATACAAAGATTGATAGTGAACTTCCTATACAGTCACACGCTCAAGAGACAACAAAATCTATTAAAGAGTTTCTTGGAGTATCTCAACCCGAAAATATTGATGTTCTACCTCCAACCGGCATACGGAATAAAGGTTGTGGGACTGGTAAGAGACTTATTAGCGCTGTCGAGGAAGCAATTACGTATGGCAAAAAGCAGAAGAGAAAGTGTCGGTTATGTCGTCAAATGGCTATACATGATTCGAGGAATTGTCCAAAACGTGATTCCACTTAAATTATGCCTTTTAATTCTTGGTGATATTACAGGGTTCAACACGTTATAGGATTATATTATTGTGTTTTAGTTAAATATACTACATTGTTTAAATTGGTTTCATTAAATTATTAGTGAATCTCTAATTTTTAATAAAGTTGAATATGCTTTCATTTTACTGGTTGAAGTAGGTGTAAAAAGCTAAGTTGGTACATATGATTCTGATGAGAATGGGTACATATTATTCTTATTGTCAATCTGGTATCACCGCATGTTATACTCACCGAATATTGATCATTATTTTTTTCATTATTTCTACATGCATCAAGAAACTTTTGATCTAGTTGGGTATGAATTCATTTTACCCTTTTGTGTAGTTTGAAAAAGTTATGTGGGTGCATAAGGATCTGATTAATATGGGTTCATCAGAATGTGTTAATCATGCTTCAATAACAAATTGTGAATATGCAATAATCATGTATTTTTTTGATGGATATGGTTTGCATTATATATTCAGTATGAATCAAGTTTCACATACCATTTTTACCTTTTTGTGTATTTGAACAAAGTGCTTATTTGAATATACTATTCAAGATTCTCAATCTATATGGTTAGCATTATTACTAAATAAACAAGTTTAATTAACAGGTGTGTTAATCTGGGTTCACCATTCATATGACAATGTGTTGGCAAAATAATTTCATCAAATGTCATATACATTTCATAACGTCGAACATGCCAATAGCATAATGTTTAAACAAACTAGTAAATTTAATACCAATAGCAAGTTATTAAAACCGTCTACATGAGAAAAATATAAAAGAACATCAATAAATCAGATTCAAAGTCTCTCAGTCTTTGTATTGTCAGCATGTTTTCTTAACCTTTTTCGGATGGCTTTATCCATTGATTGAAATTTCTCAACTTCATTAACGACATATTCCTTCTTCTTGTTGTAGTTGCTCACCAATAATTTTGCTACATATTTCATTCTGAGGGAGGCTATTTGGATCTCTTGTGTTTTTCCTTCTTGTGCCAGGCCAGTTTTCCATGTTCGCACATCTCCTATGTACGTCTTCATGTGTCTCATTGCAAACACGCCACAATCATCGAAGTTGTTTTGTGTCTGCCAATCCATCCTCAACCTTTCTTGTCCTATTTCATCTAGTTCTCTCCCCGCTGGATGTCCAACCGCATTCAAATGCCTGATCATCAATCTTTGCTGCACAAACGGAATGAAATGGTTAACACATCGTATATCATATTAATAAAAAATACAATTATACATCAATATTTTATTCATACCAGAATGTCTGTAATGAAGTCATACATTTGTAGAGGTTGATCATCATCGGACACCTCTTGATATCTGTTGTCTATGACAACAACCGATGGGTTCTTCAGATTGAACACCACAATATAATAGTGTCCCTTATCCAGTAATGGGAAGAATACCTATCATTTCATCAAGTTTTTAGGTTCATAAACAGAATGTTACATTGCATAAAAATCAGCATGTTACAGTGCATTAACATAGAGTTTCATTAACAACATGTTAAAGTGATATGAGGTTCATTATATGTTCCTTAACATCATCTCACACAACAAGTAACAGTGCATTTAGGTTCATTCAAAGCATGTTACTGTTCATATAAAACTTGATGTAACATTATGTTAATGAAACATGTTTCACCAAATGCTTCACCTGTTTCACCAAGTTACATTGTTGTTATTGTTACATTTGTTTTTACTGTGCTGCTAAATGTTACAGCGCTGTCACTGTTACATAGCTATTAATGTGCTGTTAATGCGTTGTTACTGTTACATTGCTGTTAATGTGATGTTACTGTTACTGTGCTGTTAAATGTTACAGCGCTGTTACTGTTAATGTACTGTTGTTGTTACTGTTACCGTTCATTAACAGCATGACATGGGAAATGAAACATTGAACTCCTCGTACAAAAAGATGATTATGGACAACATGTAATTTCCTGGTGCTGCTTTGTTATACATGATGTGAAGTAACCCACAAGAGAGTGCTTTGTTGTGTTATTAATAGAGTTTTTAGCATGTGGGGTTGTGATATAATGATGAGGATGGCATAGAATAGTAGTTATCACATGGATTAAGTGAACGTATTTGAATTATCCAACAACATGTTAAATACATGTTTGTGAGTTTGTCATCAGCACATAAAGTGGTGATACAAAATCAGCAACAAGTCACAATCAATGTTGAAGCATAATACTACACCACTTAGATTGGACTAGCAAGGGGGCTTAATTAAAAGTGCTTCAATAGCAAAAACCTGTAGTATCATCTCCATATTATAATATGAGTCACAGAAGTCTAATCCATGATCACCATTTCACATTATATTGTGCTATCAAGATATTTTACTAATTGTATACTACGGTATTCAACATCACTAACCATGTACATATATTGAGTCCTCTTATTCTTGGGAAGGAATACCTGATTCGACATTTTGAAATGTAATTGGATTCACTTGGACTGCAACTGGGTTCATTATAAAATCATTATGACCTGCATCTGGCTTCACTGTAAGTTATCATAAATACGTGCAGTTCATAAGAGTATGTTACCAAAACCTCTAACAATGTGCATGTGAGGAATGTAAAAATAAAAGTTAATTTTTTACAAACCCTTTGCATATGTTGAATCCATTTCTTTCTGGACTGGAACGATTAGTTCAACATGTTGAACTGCATCTGGGTTCATTGCAAAAGGAAAAGAAATATGTGAAGTTCATAGGAGCATGTAGCAAAAATAAAGGTTCATTTCTTTCAAACCCTTTGCACATGGTGAGTTCACTTCTTCCTGTACTAGAACGACTAGTTCAACAGGTTGAGATGAATCTGGGTTCACTGCATTATCGACAACATGTAAATAGTTTTTACATGCCATATAAACAAGATGTAAACAATATTCACCATTAGGAAAGATCACGTAAAAAAGATTCACAATTATAAACAACTATTAAACAACACAGATTCACACATTATAGATATTAATGAAAATCTGTTATACATAATGTAAAGTAATTCAAAAGAGAGTGCTTTGTCTGCAGGTTCTGCTATGTAATTAATAGTGTTTTTAGCATTTGGGGCTGTGATATAATGATGAAGAGGGCCTAGATGTTGATTCTCTAATCATTATGCTGACAGGTAAACAAACAGATGAAGCCTGTTTCATTAAAATACATACATAATGAAACACTAATCCAATTGATAAATACATCAAAACAGATGAAACCTGTTTCATTATCTTGTGCTATCATGTAAAAGTCCATAAACGACATACATAATGAAATGATAATCCAAGTGGTAAATGATACTTAACTCCTAGGTGGCCAAATAAGTGGACTTAACTAATTGAAGTCGTGATATAATGCATACTGTCGAAGATACTAAGTTAAGATACTATTGGTGATATAATGCTTAATGTCAAAGATACTAAGCTAAGTGGTGATATAATGCTTACTGTCAAAGATACTAATTGAAGTGGTGATATAATGCTTATGAGGAAGTGGGCCCCAAATTCCCAAAGATACTAAGCTAAGAACCGTGAGTGTAGTCAACCTTGCCAATGTAACAACTAAAGAATCAATAGAGAAATTCTCAGACAATGGTTGGTTTGGAATTGGAAAGCCATGAAAGAGACTACTGACCCTAGGAAGCTTATCTCCCATTATTTTGAGCTCAGTGACAGAGTTGTCTTCAAATTTGATGGTTACATGAAGAGTAGAAGGCAAGCTGCAAAAGTCAGCATTGTAGTTTTCCCAATTGGTTAAATGAATTTGGGTATTCCAAATGTTGCCTCAGCTGGAGAAGAAGTCGAATTTGGGTGGTCCGTAATTCATGGGTGCAAACTAAAAGAAGTCGAATAAGGAAAACCTATGAATGAAAGAGTAAGTGAAAGACGTTGTGCCTCATTTCATTAGCTTTTAACAAGAAACTAAAAGAAGCTATTCAAGAATCTTGAAAGTGGATCAAGATTAGGCTAAGATGATCAAAACATTATTTCTAATGATTTCATAAAAACTGAATAATAAGTGAAAACGTTTAAGGTCTACAAAGTGAGTTCTATATGCATTATTTCATTTTCGTAATGATAATGCAAAATGTACCATAACCTAACAACAGACAGTCGGTAGAATGACAGGGATTAATAGTGGGTATATTGAGTCATCTGATTCTTGGGATGGAATACCTGATTCGACATTTTGAAATGCAATTGGGTTCACTTGGACTGCAATTGGGTTCATTACAAAATCATCAGCTTCATCGTCGTATAACATAACAGGATTTGCAGCAGTGTTCTTGAACTTAGAGAATGAGTTCTTTATCATGATTCTCTCGCTCCTCTTACGAACTGATTCATAGGTACAATGCACAATACGATTATTGGAATAACATTACACTAAATGAGATGAACCTAATGATTACCTCTATTTGCTGCAATGAAGATTCCAGGTTGAAATTCGTCCGCCATTTGTTTCTTCTCCAGAATCGTATCTCTCGTGTTCTTCAATGAATATCAATATTTTGTCTTAATAAATGAGAGTGATTATAGCATTACTGATTTCAGAGCATCCCTTCTTAGAATAGAATGACTTTACCAATTCCAATCTTACCCTTGGTTACCCCTCAATCAAACCCTTGGTTACCCCTCAATCTAATAGGCGCGCCAATTTAATTTTCATTTTATTACATTTTTGCCATCAAATGCATCTTCACCATTGATTAGAAATTGAAGGGATGAGATGATGGTTGTATTGGTTGTAGGAATTAAGAAGGTTGCAAAATAACCTCCCTCATTATATATATATATATATATATATATATATATATATATATATATATACACATATAAGCGATCAAATGCAAACCATCCATATTTGTACAACCATGCAAACCATCCTCATATGTCGATTTCATTTTTTAATTTTATGAATTTTTTTTATGAAATTGTTTCATATAATATTTTTTTTGATGAAT